TGACGATCACAAATGTTTGATAGTATTGAAATTTTAAATTTTTTTTTTCTACATATCCAAATCACTTGAAATTTTAAACATATGTTCTACTCATCAAGCCACACCTAATAAAAATATAAAAAAAAAACAATCCGTAAAATAAAAATTGACCAAAATACCTCCAAAACTTTACGGGGGTATTTTGATGAATTGTTTTCATGTAAAATATTTTTTTGATATTTTTCAAAAATTCACCTATTTTTTATAAATACACATCTAAAATTTTAAGTGATTTGAATTTGTAGAAAAAAAACTAAAATTCAAACACCTTCGAGCATCCGTGATCGACAGATCGACCCAGATTGAATCTGAATTGTTGAGCTCATTTTTACTTGTGAGCCCAATTGCTCACACGTTCATTTTCCTATATATATATATATATACAAATAATGAAAAAAACAATTATATAATTTTTTCTTTACTAGCCGAAGCATACCCAAAGCACTCTGAATCTGACTGAAGCAATAACACCAGGCTTCGCTTCTCTTCGATTTATGCCTAAAATCCGAAGGCTTCAGCATCGTCGACTGAAGCGACGCGAACTTGATAACATTGGCTTACACTAGCAGTGCCAAAAAAATCACACCTTAGATTGAACATGATTACCCAAATCTGATATGGTGATCAAGTTTTAGATGGTGATATCCAAGTGATCAAGAACTCACATGTTATTTTATTAAAACACTATTCATTTAGTTCAGCTACTCTACTCTAAATTGGATCCAAAAATTTAGGAAAAAATAGAAAATCACATTCAATGGGATTATGCTCAAAGGAGGATATACAGAATTTGTCCATGCGGAGGTTGCATATGTACAGGTTGGCCTCGCGGATCACAGAATGCGTTAATTGATGTATTTTACAAAAGAAAAGCATCAGGTAAAGGACAATTGAGGTGTTAAGAGGTTTTGTTTTTCCCATCCATGCCTCGAGGCCCTGAAACCTACAGAAATTTCAGCCAAAATGTCAAATGGCTGTAAAATGCATCCCTCTCTCTTTCTCAACTTAAAGGTATCAATGGAACTCTCTCTCTCTATCTCTCTAAGGTATCAATGAAACTCTCTCTCTCTGAACTCAAAGGTATCAATGAATCTCTCTCTCACTCTCTCTGAACTCAAAGGCATCAATGAAACTCTCTCCCTCTCTCTTGACTTTATAGAGACACTGGGATATGTGATGAAACTCTCTCCCTCTCTTTTGACTTTGTAGAGACACTGGGATATGTGATGAAACTCTCTCCCTCTCTCTTGCCTTTGTAGAGACACTGGGATATGTGATGTGGAAGATGTGATGCGGAAGGAAGAATGCTGAACCCAAAGATAAGTGTAAATTTCATTCCTCAAGCTAGCAAGACCCTGCATTTATGAAATGGAACTGAAAAATAATGTAAGAACACATATCAAAACGTGTTACATGAACCACAGGAAAGGTTCCTTCCAAATACTGCTACAACCCACCCAAGCCATATATTATCTGGGGGCAACTCAGAGAGAGAGAGAACCAGATGTCAATGGGTTATGACAGAGGAGAGGAGGGTGGGGGCTATGAGCATGAGAGAACGGTGGATAAAGACTTTCTTTTTTTTTTTTGGAGGGGGGTAGGAGGGGAGGAGGGAAGGGGGGGGAGGGAGGTGGAAGGGGGGGAGGGGAAGGGGGGGGAGGGAGGTGGGAGGGGAGGGAGGGGGGGGGGGGAGGGGGGTTGGGGGAGGGAGGGAGGAAGTGTACGAGAATCGAGCACGCCACGTAAGGCATTCTAC